AATTTTGTGTAGTTCTATATCCAAAATTTTGTTCCGAATCAAAACCTTTAAATTTTTACGTCAAAATTAAACCATATCGTCAAATATTCCAGATCCAGCTGCATTATCAAGTTATCTCAAGAAATTCCAATTTTTTGTAATTTTTTTGTTTACAAAAAGTGTTCAGAATCAAAAACAAAGATTAAAAATTTTTCAACCTGCTTCATTGGATGTAAGAGTTATCCAGATCAAGATGCCTTTTTATTTTGTCTCAAAAACTTTTGAAATTATGTAGTGGCAAAGTTTGTTCAGAATCAAAACAAAACTTTTTTGAACCGTTATCATAGAATGTAAGAGTCAACCTGATTTTTCTAAATTGTCTCGTTTACTCAAAAACTGCCTCGTTTACTCAAAGTGATTGATATATTAATTTTTTGTTCAAAAAGATTGTTGTTTCGCAGCTCAGACTTTGTTCAGACTTTGCTCAAGCTAAGTTAAGAGTTTGCCTAGATTGTGACCTACGTTGGTCTCATAATTTTTCAATCCGAGCGCGGATTGTTTCGACATCTGTTTAATTAATTATTTACCAAAGGATTAGCTGGAAAAAGAAGATTTTGTTTAACTCCTTGTTTAACTTGTAACTGCAAACCGACTCACTTTTGACTTTGAAAGCTCAGTTGGTTGATTCAGACTGGAGGAAAAGAATTAAAAAAAGAAAAAGAATATTAAACCGAAATGTAACTTAATCAAACCAAGGCTGTATTATGTCTGTTTTATTTCATACTTATAATTTTCGCACCGTTTCTGCATCGACCCAGAGCAAATAATCTAAGCTATCGTCTATTATGGAAGTATCAATTTTTGGTTTCAGTCAGTTGTCAGTGTATTCTGGGCCCAAAAATGTTGCAACGGCGTGAAACTGTTCGAAACAGCTGAGGTTAGAAACAATACCACACTGAATAAGTCACATTACTACATAAAATTGTTTCTTGTCGAATGAAACATTTTTTGTTTCAATTGTTTCAAAATATATTTCACGCAATTGGAAAAACTGATAGAGATGAAGAAATCTGATTTTTTATGCCCCTAGTTAAGTAGTGGTACCCTCAAATAAAACAAGACTGCTCGTATCAGGGCAAAGCCCTGAATGTTCCGACTGCCTTTTCAGGCTCTTTTTCCTTCCCCCCCCCCCCCCCCCTCCACCTGCAATTTTTTACATGCAAATTTGTTGACCACATTGTCCGATTGTTACAAAAATTTACATACAGACTAATAAGGCCACGACAAACATATTTGGTCTTCATAGTTAACCTTGTAAAACCACTCCTTACACTAATATATTGAAGGTCGTGTGAGGTGGGGGGGAAGGAAAAAGAGCCCCTTTTCAGTTTTATCGAGCAGTAGTAACATGAAAAAATTAAATATAATAAAAAAAATGAAAAAAAAAATTTCTAAAATTTGAATTTTTTTAAAAGAAATCAGCCCCCCCACACGCCATATTAAGTTTAAAAGAATAGATTTTGCTCATTGTAACAAAATAATTATTGCAAATAAGCTTTTTTCAACCAATGTGGAACGATTTAAAAGACGGATTAACTCTCCGCTTACGCGTTAATAGCGCGAAATATCGCGCGTTAATTGTCCCAAATTGGCCAAAATGGCAATCTTTAAACCCCCGTAACTTTACGAAAAATGATAACAGGTAAAATATCTTTTCAAATTTGAGCTTAGGACAACAATACCTTTCGAATGATATAAAAAAATTCCGTCAAAAATGGCTAGTTAAAAAGTCGAAATTTGTCTGAAGAAAAAAAAAACCCACCCCGAACACAAATATTCCGTTACTTTCGTATCGAAAGTCGGAACAAAAACGATTTCATAAAAAGATAGCTTACATTTTTTTTCTCTTGATAAGCCTAGAAATTGAAAATTGCATCAATTGTTAGGAAATTGTCCAAAATGTCCATCAAAACAAGCATTCTGAAAAAAAAAACTGGAATGTGCGCTAAATTGACAACTAAGGGCAGAACTGAACAAAACTAAGCTTTTTGTTGGATCAATTAGAAAATTCAAATGAATTACTCAAAATCTGACAAACTAAAATGCGCACAAGCGTGAGTATTGAGTACGGGAAACAAAAACTTCGAAATGGGAATCGATCAAAGATAAAGTTTCGAAATGGAACCTGCTGAATCAAAACTAGGATAACCACGTCATTTATTAAAAACACTTTTCTATTATAATTATATTGGTTTCTGAACAAGTAAATAAATGTTTTATTCCCACTGATTGTTGCCTAGGCAATTTAAAACTACTGCATTTTTAAACAATTTATATAAATTGACACCGTTTTAATCCAAAATGAAAAGAGAACTAATTTAAAAAGGGATTTCGGTAAATTAAACATCAAAGAATAAAGCAAAAAAAGTCGGCCAGACAACTTAATTTGCGTAATTTTTGAATAGAAATGACATTGCCCATAATTCGGATTGTTAACTTGATTCGAACCAAAAATGAGCAATCATGAAACAAGGTTTCGCGTTTAATTAAACGTTTTTTGGCTAAAAATGGTGTGAGTTTCCTGACATTTTCAGCCGGTACAGAAAAAAAAGTTAACCAATGCCAAATGGCTAAAAATCATTCAATTTTAGAATAATTCTCGAATTGACACTTATAACATGATTGCTTTGTTCAGCTTTTTTTTTAAATCTTGGCACAGAAACGCAAATATAAAAGTTTTGCCGGCCCCTAAACCCAATCTAGTATCCCGAAAGTCAGGGCGATTTTGCTGGGGTTGAATTGCTAGTGCACGAGTTAAATTGGATGAGTGACATCGTTATATCAAGCTGCGTAAGTGTGAGCGCAGCAGTTTGAATCAGTCTGTCTTTAGTTAAAAGGGAAAACAAAGTGGCCAAATCTTTTGTTCCTGGCAAAAATGAACTAGCAACTGCGGCAGTCAGTTTTAACCTTTCGCTGAGATCTTTTAAATGCTTGATGACATTTCGGGTATCTGATTTTCCTGCTGGGCTGTCTTGGTTATGCTCTCCAGCGTCTCCATCAGTTCGTTATTTTCTTTAATGGTTGATTCTCGACTTGTATGTGTTTGGTATTTTGAGCAAATCTTAGTTCCGGTAAACTTTTTGTTTTGAATATATTTCGTGAACGGACGAAATAATAAATGGCTGGCCTTAGATGAAACTGTGAATTCGAAAGGAGATTCGATAATAACTTGTTCATAACTTATATTTGGAGTTTGCGTGTTAATGTTTTCATCACTCGGATACATAATAAAAAAACTTTCGGAATTTTAGATTGTCAGAAACATAACATCAAATCACTATGAATTAGCTCAAATCAGGTTTTTTAGTAATCAAAAAAATCAGAGAAACATTTAATTGAAAAATATTACAAACTTGTAGATAAGAGTCTTAAGTAATTTTAGAAGCCTCACTTCAGCATGTATAACTAATTTACGGAATTTGCAATGGAGGAATCTGTAACGCTGGTGATAGTAACCTTTCAAGTTTCTGATTTAACCATACTGTCTAGGTGATTTGATCAGGCAACGAGTAAAATAATTTTGCAAAACTTTTTAAATATTGTTTATTTAGACTGATAAGTTCCAATCAAAAAGTTTTTTTTCAGCAGTTGTTCTTTGTTTAATTTTATTCTATAGTGAAAAATCTAACTCGACTGCTCTTACGTTTGAGAGCTAATATAGCGCTCGTTAATTATGCCAAATTGGCCAAACTGGCAATCTTTAAACCTCCATAATTTTATAAAAATTGATCAAATGTGAAAAATTTTTTGAAGTTTCAGCTGAAGAAAAGAAACATTTTTTTTGCATAATTCAGAGAACAACTATTCCGTCGCTTTTCTTGATAGTTGGAACAAAAAAATTGCAATTTGTTATTGGAAAAACCCCTCTAGTTTCTGGTCGTAAAATTATGAAAAGTTTGATGAAAAACAAGAAAACTATTGGACTCACTTCGGAATTCAAGCTTCAGGAATCAAATTAGATTGATAGTTTTTTTGAAAATAATTGTCCCCAGTTTCGAAGAAAGTGAGGGATAAATATGCCTGGGAAGATTTTACTCAGACCGATTTTAGAAAAGTTGATTTCATATGGGAATCGGTGCGGAAAGCTTGGGATTGGCAAGCGAGAGTGCTTGCACTAGACTAAAGTGCATCTGTGCTGCTGGAAAAAATTTTTTGAAAAATTGTTTCAAAACGCGAGTGATTTGTACGACTGAAAAAATGCGAGTGAAAAAAGAAATGAAATAGCTATCGGCCAAGTCCTTCGAGTGAAAAAAGTCGAAAACAGCTAATCGGAAAAATTGAATGCCCCTGATTGACTTCGTTATCAAAGCTTGAAACCGCGCAAACATCAGAAGATGATAACTATCGACACGCTCACGCCACATAAGGTTTCTGAACTTTGTTCAAGTTTTCTAAAGCTAAAAGTCGATCATTTCTGATCTTCAAGGTCATATTTTAAGATTCCGATACGCTCAATTCTTACACTCAAGGCCATATTTTAAGATTCCGATACGAAAATTAGATGTTTTAAATTAAAACAACTTTCCATTTGAGTTGAGCTGAAGTTACTGTAACATTTACTGTTGGAGTGACTTTTTCGACCGATGAGTGCTTGTGCACTAAATTGCCCATAATCAATTCTTTTGATCTTGAGCTGATATAAGCCAATCAAACTAGAGCAAAGCAGCCAAGCTCTTTTATCAACAGTTTCAGGTTAGCGCATAAGGCCTGAATGGTGGTATATGAACTATCCGGGCTAAATAATGCGCTATGCGCTAAATAATAGTTTTATGTAAGAGTTATGCGAACAGTTACAAACTCAATGAATGTTTCAGTGAAATGACATAAGTTTAGCTGGTCTGTTCATTTTCGGCTGAAATATATTTCGGATAGTTTTCACACTCGAATAGGACAAACTTTTAGGAGTAGATGACTAATGAAAGAAGTTTATCGATCTCAATCTGATAAGAAGGATAAACATGCAGTTCAGAACACCCTGTCAGCTAATCATTATGGGGTTTATCATTCTTTTAGCCCATCAAGACAAGACTTAAGCGGTTTTGCCAGAATAAGTGGACTATCTCAAGCAGAATTTCAACCGTAGAATCGTTTTTGGAAGAAAAAAGTATTTCATTTTTGAAAACATAATTACATGCAGGGGCGGATTTAGGGGGAAAGGGGGGGGGGGCGGACGCCCCCCTCTCAGGGATTCGAACCCCTGCCGACCCAAAGGGTCCCCCCTTTGATACTTTTTCAGAAATCCATTTTTGGCCGACCGACCTTAAAATTTTTCTAAAGGCGCCTTTGGCGCCAATATATAGTAACTTCGAGGGGGAGCGCGCGCCAAAAAATTTTTTTTTCAAAAAGTGCCCAAAAACGGCTTTTTTGACTGTTTTTTCAAAAATTTGCTTGCGGGGCAGAAAATTTTGCAAAAATAGGGGCAAAACAGTGCTTTGGGAGAGCTCGTAAAATCAATTTGGTCGACCTAAAAAAAAAGGTCGTCAAAATTTTGGACAATTTTTTGAAAATCCGCCCCCCCCCCCCTCGAGAAAATCCTAGATCCGCCCCTGATTACATGTTTTGTGCTCTTCAAGGGTTTTAAAAGCCAAAGGGACATCGGGCCGAACTCCTGGATGAAAAAATTGCTGAAATAAATCCAATTGAGTTTTTTCAGCACAACAAAAATTTGGTTGATTTCAAAAGTTGTTCATTACAAAAAATTATCGGGAGTTTTTGCGGGCCATTAAATTAACAGGTTTTTGAATTGCACAAATTATGAACTAAAATGCGATTGAATTTGATTATTTTTGAAACATAAGAAATCTTTGAAAACCATTATAATTCTTTGAAAACGACTATAATCCATTATTTTTGGCCTTGAAATCGATTTTTTTCTCATAATAGCCCAACCCCCCCCCCCCACAACTTCCGCGTACATTCACAACACCATTTTTCCCCCATGCTCAACAATGTATATTTGATATGAAATGACTAAGTAAATTTCATCCATTTTCTCGCAAAGAGACACTATAATTGATCATAATCGATCAAAACTCAAAACGGATTATACCGCTTTCAAAAACGGAAATTATTATTCATCCTTAATAGATTATAATCTATTATATTCCATTAAAAGGGGATTAAGTTGACATTAAAAAACATTAAGAATATCGATATAATCAATTTTTTGTAATTTTAGAAACAAATTGTGAAAATGAGCAAATAATCGAGTAAAATCTATGGGCCCCCGGTGTGGGTATGATACACAAAATAAATTATAATTAAAGAAGAAAAAAATATATTTTCCTTGAAGTTCTTACGAAATTTTTATTGTGAATTTTTATATTCATGACAGAACAATTAAAATTTGACATCGTTTAATTCTGCTTGAGTACAGAGTCGGCCTAGCATTGCACCATGTCAAAAGATATTAGTCAAGACAGAAGTAACGCGAGTTCAACAAGTGAACAAGACGAGACGTTCAAGTGGCTGCAGGGTCTGTGGGCCAATAGCAAGACAGGGATCTTTTTAACTACCCCTCCACCTCTATTCAAATAGAGAAGGGTGGGCATTCCTTCATAACTACAAAATCCACATATAATCTTTATCATTGTATTAGTTCTCTATTGGGGGATTTGTGAACAAGGGGCGGGGGTAGTTAAAGAGATCCCATGACAGTATCCGGGGAGCAGGAGTACTATGAGAGAAGTGCCTCTGAGTATGAACAGATCCATCAGACACTCCAGTGGAGGGCACCCGAATTGTGCATGAAGGCCATTGCAGACTACGAGGAGAAGAGTGGTTAGTTGTGGGGGTTGTTGTGGTCTGCTACAGAAAGAGCAACTGCGCCAAAGACCAATTTTTCTAAAAACAATCAATCGTCCTTTACAAGTCCAAAACTGGCAGATTTGCCCCCTAATTTTTTGGATTTTTGAAATCTGAAATTTGATTGGAAATGGCTTCTCGGTTGTGATCGAGAAGCTATTTTTTTTGGAGTGCGTTGTTAGTTCAGCGTTGTCAACTACATAAAAATGACTTTCACATTTTATTAAAGCTCTTTTTCCGCGAAGATGAAAAAACTTTACCGAATCCAGAAAAAAATAATGCATGCAGTTGTTAATTAAGAGGGACGAAAGCTGGCAGCTTGTAAATTGGTTTTTTTTCCAACTTCAACAAATTATCGTAACGTTGCCGCGCTCTCTAAGTCGTTTTGGTATCAGCGAAGTTTTAGGAATCTGCACTTAACCATCATTTTAGAGCACAAACAATTTTCAGATGAGACACAGAAAGTTGCAAGTTTTAGTGTTCTTTAATTGTCTCAATAAGCTTTTGGTTTGAAAGTATTTGTAAGTTTTTTTAAAGGTTTTATAGATTAGTGGTTATAATAAGAAAGCAGAAATTGGGCAAGGTAAGCCAAACTGGCAATTTTCAACCTCCAGAACTTTACAAAAACTAATCGGAGGTAAAATATCTTTTTCAATTTGAACTCAGCAAGTCGATATCTTCAATGGGGTATGAAAATTTTTTGTTGATAACTATTTTTTCGATTGGTAAAAATTGACTGAAAAAAAAACACACCGAGCATAAATCTTCTGTTTTCTATGAAAGTTGGAACGAAAAATAAAAATTCATTTACAGAAAAAAAATTGCCACGTAAAATATGATGAGCCCTTCTCCTTAACTAAAATTACAAACGACCGACGGTCTTACTAAATTGTTTCAATATATTTCTATATCATCAAAAGAGAATCTATTAAAAATTTGAGGCTTCAAAAAACAAAAAACCAGGTTCTTTTGGAAATATAGACGCCAGATAAAACCTTATTAAGTTTAGAATATTAGAATTCATGCCAAATTGTTGGCAATATCTGTAACCTTGAGCAACTTAATCGGTCCAAAAACGGTTGTTTGGGGTTTATAAGATTTTTTGATATGGCTTTTAACGTGCTCAGATGAGCGAACATTTAATTTCAGCCGTCAAATGAGAAGTTTCAAGTTAATTAACTTCGTTCAGATTCGATGACCGAAAAAGGTATAGCCAATAATTTGGCATTATTTATAATTATTCCTTCAGTTGTGTTTCAAACTCATGTGGAAAAAAATGCTTTTCAATGTCGAAAAAAAACACAACAAACTAAAGCAACAATTGGCCGTCATTGAATGACTGACGGTCTCTTCGAGCAAAAAATTGACTCACCGTAAAAAATGTTCTATCGGCAGACAAAATAAAAACAAAAAGTAAATCGTCCAGCTGGTTCTTGTGCAAATAGACCAAAAAGTTCATGACTACACTAGTTCACACACTAGCTCTACCATAGCACTGAAAAGACCCTGTTTTGTTAAAATTCTGTGGGCCGCAGGCAAAAATTTGAAAAACAGGCCAAAAAACGCGTTTTAAGGCACTTGTTGGAAAATGTTTACCAAAAAATCGCGTTTTTGGCGCGCGCTTTCCCCTCAAAAGTAGTATATATTAACGCCATAGGATCCTTTAGAAAATGTTTAGAGCCCGTCATCAAATATGGATATCTGAAAATAGTACAAAGGGGGACCCTTTGGGTTGACAGGGGGTCCAATCCCTGAGAAGAAGAATTCTGCCCCAAACCCCCCCCCCCCCCAAATCCGCCCCTGCCTATTTGTTTGTGTCAAAAACAGTAAAACGGTACTGAAGCAGATCCGTAGACAAAGTTCTTCCACACTTTCAGTGGGCGATACATAAGGATTACCCAGTTGCTGCGCAAGTAGCTTAGAGTTTTTCCACCACAGTGATAAATAAAAAAATACTGATACTTTCAGAGCAGCCTTTTTGGAGAGGTCAAAAAATCTACAGATGAGAATTTTAAAATTGTTTTATCTTTTGATAATTGGCTTGGATTATTTTCAATTTCAAGAACAGCAATCGTCAAGTTTTTTGTTCAAAATTTGGCATGTTTCGAAGCAGTTTTGGCCTTAACACTTTCTCTGACTTTCAGGGGTTAAACTTGATCAAAAGGGGCGCTGTCTTGACATCGGAGCCGGAACTGGACTAAGTGGAGAAGCCCTGAGACGCGCTGGATTTACGGGTCAAGTTGATGCTCTTGAACCAGTAGAAGGAATGTTCGCCCAGGCCAAAAAGAAGAACATATACACAGAGTGGTTCCAAGAGTTTCTAGATGATAAAAAGGGGAGTTTCAGTCCCCATAATTTTAAGTTGATTAATTTTCATGACATTATTTTAGACAACAGTGGTTAAGAATAACTCAAAGTTGACAAAAGGGTCGTTTGCTGCTATTTGATTTGTCCGATTGATCTGCTTGTTTTCAGAATGTATGTATTCACTTTTGATTCCTCAAGGTTAGCCGGTTATGTAATTTTATTTTTCGTTATTCTAGGAAAGCAAAATTCCGAGTGCAACATATGACCTGGCCGTTTCAGTGGGCGTGTTCAACGACCGATCTGCTAAGTTAGTGCAGCAATTTCTCTTTTCTAAATTTTTGAGCAAAGATTTTTAGCAGGCTGTGTATGAAGCCTCCCCCCTCCTCCTCATCCCACCCACATACACGCACACCGCACACACACTCCCACAGAAGCATCATTTTTTCATCTTGCGAATGAAAGAAATACAGGTAAAAAATGGCAGAAGAGGTCCAAGAAAGCCTAATTTTTTTTATCAAGTTTTAAAATAAAATGTACGTTGAGTGTTGGGAAATTGCATTGTAAATAGATCAAAAAATTTCTCATAATCAGATCAGATTTAAAGTGAGCCTGTTTGCTGAATGGTAAAGTTTGTTATTGGTTTCTTATGCAGAAGTTCTTGTCTGACTGAAGTGATGCGGATGATCAAACCAGGGGGATATCTGGCCGCCATCCTTAGAGAGGCCCATTGGAAGGGGGACTTCGAAGATGAGATCAAACGACTCGAAGATGAACGAATACTCAGTTTAAAACACGTTGACCGCTCAGATGTTTACTATGATAATGTATCGTCGATGGCTTTCATTTTACAGAAAAATTAACTTACTTGGAGAAAAAAAAATACTTTGTTTATGAAATATTTTTGCTTGTTAAGTTTCTGAAGATTCACATTTTTTGACCCAACGAATGACGAGTTTGGTAAACTCGTTTCAAGATGTCCAGAAAAGTTTCGTGAAAAACACACTAGAAAATAAGTTATTTTGAGGGTGAGCAGATTAAAAACCTCCAGTAACGTGCAAAATTTCATAATATTTCTCAGTGTAATTTGACGCCAATTTAAGAAATTAAAATATTAACTAACCTTGGTAACTAAGTATTCACCTGTTAATGTATCAAAAATAAAACTTAAAATAGTTGGTTTGACAAACTTGCCTCAAAAGGAAAACTTGAGTCAAAACTCTGCTATGTTGGATTTTTTTTCTCGAGAAAGTGCCACTGATCCGCATTTTTTCAATCAACTGCGAAAAAATTGCGTCATCGTGCAAAGCGTCAAAGTACAAGTGCTGTTATCAGGAAAAAAAAAGTTTTTTAGAGACGCAGGCAATACGTACAAATGACGTTCTTGCATGCTGAAAGCTTAATTATAATTTTTACCAGAACTATTGAAGATAAATTAAGACAGCTTGAGAAGTATCTACTAGTCTTAAAGTTTCGAAGAATGAATAAATGCTATGCGAATGACATCATTTTTTTTGTTGAAATTACATTTGGAAGTCAACATTTAGTAAAATTTTGATTGAGCGACAACGAAAATATCAGAAAAAAAAATTGAAAATTTTGACGACTTTTTATAGGTCGACCGAATTGATTTTCTGAGCTCTCTCAAAACACTATAAAGACCGTGACTTGACCAAATCTTCTGCGCCGCAGGCAAATATTTGAAAAAAAGGCCAAAAAAGGCGTTTTGGAACCTGATCTAAACTACATTTTATGATTGGATAAATTAGATATTTTACCAATGTAAAGTATTTGATATTAACCAATCATGATCCATCTAACTAACAATCCACTTATTTGTAAGTGCTGAAATTACTTGTAATTTCAGCACCAGAGAGATTTGAATTTAACTTAGAAATTAGTTGACTCTCCAAGAAGACTTCAGCAACCGCAATAAACCAGTATACCCTAGATCTATTGAGCCTAGCAGAGACTAGTTAAACAACCTGAGACTAGATAGTATAAGAGTAAGATTAGGATTGGTATTAGACTAAGAAGTTGCACGAATCTATCCGGCCGAAAATAAGATAGCGTGACGAGCAGACGGTGTACCCTATCCGAAATTACTCTATGAGTTATACACTCCAGTCCTAACTCATCTGGTACGACTATAAGTCTCGAACAAGACCTTAATAGCTTAGAATTAACCAAAAAATAGATTAGAATTTAGACAAAACATTTACAAAATGTTATACGACGATAATTTAATCGAAATGTCTCTACGACTCAATAGATCAGAGCCGATATTCCGAACGATAACAGAACTACCCGGAATTGCAAGAAGACCTCGAACCAGAGACGACATACGACAAAATAGAAACTTACCATATAGTTATATGATAGTTCGGCAAAAGCCAGAACAAACTTTTGTATTTAGAATACTACTAGCAATGAATTTAGATTTTCATCTGCAAACATAAAATCTTGAAGTCAATCTTCAAAATCATTTCAGGCGCTAAACAAATATTAATATACAATAACGATTGATAAAAAGATCTCAGATCGTTTACCTAAATTCTGCAGTAATATACAAAACATGTTTGAAAAATATTTATTGAAAAATCAAAATAAAAATTAGTAGCATGACAATAAATGGTTAGTAATTATAAATCATCCTGTTGTTCCAGCTTCATCACCTAAACATAACAGCATTCATAAGCTCACTAATATCATAAAAACACTAAATCTTTTCTCTACACAAATTTAAATCATTATTTAAACTTAAATTCACTTAATTTTAAAATTAGATCATCAAGGCTTATCCTTGGATCTTAAATCATTTTCTATTTAATAAAATTTAAAACTTGATCATCAAGGCCTCTCCTTGGATCAAAAAGAACAATTTTGTTCTCCCCCACCCACTTAGCTAGTGTCTAACGACCTCAAACGTCGATTCACTATCCAACCCTTTCTAAAAACCCAGGACTAACAGAAATTTTTGAACAAAGTTAATCATTCAAATTAGGATAAACAGTGAAGAACTTCGGTTATTCATCCTTCACTTGCTCCCTCCTCTTATCAAGACCCAGGATAAATCTTAGACTTAGTAAGTTTAAAATAGTATCTAACGAACTACTCGCGTTCTAATTATACCTGAACCCTGTGGATCGATTTACTATTCTCCAACCCTTGAACACAATCACTACCCCTAAGTAAGATTAAGTAAGTTAACACCTTAGCTTATACTAGCCACGAGAAAGTAAAAAATCATTTTTCGGAATCGATATACTTTTCTCTCCAACCCTGAACAAATAGACCCAGGTTAAGCTAACCAAAAAATCGTAAGGACTAACAGATTAAGAAAATAGAAATCATCTAACAACTTTTTGCATCCGTCATCCTAAACCTTATGTCATTTAAAAATCTAGGAAACAAACAAACAATCGTTTTACACAATTGTGAAATAGATAACAAAAAATACGATCTTGTAATCACACCACACACACAAACAGTTGGATATATCAGAACAAAACGACAAACACTAAAAAGAAAAATAATAAACAAACAAAGACAAATCACACGAAAAAGATGTTCCAAAAACCGCAACGCATTTTCAGAATCAGAAACCAGCAGTTTAGACGAACTTTATAAATTAAAAGAATCTATAGATAAAAATTGCTCCATTCACGATCAATTATATTTTTCCGACTCAGAAACAACTTCAAATTCATCAAAAAGAGGAAAAAGAAGAATAAAAAAGCAATATAAACACAAACCAGTACATTTATACAATTGGAATCAACCAATTAGACACATTGATAATTACATATTAACAGTCATCAAACGAAAAAATGAGCTCAACACACACCCCAGGTGAAGAAAGTCCAGATGATGATGATATCTTCCCCTTTATAGTAGATGCAACCACTGATAGAGGACAGCATATATTTTGCAAAAATTTACTTTTAAATTTATTTGAACCCGGAATCAGTCCATGTAAAACAGAGTTCCCAGATGTAAAAATCAAAAGACAAATTATCGATCACTATCTAAAAGATATATGTAACCTAACACAACAATAAGGAATCTACTCCATAGAATTCAGTTCAACAAATCAGAATCACAGTAAATATATAATTCAAACAGACGACCTTGATTTAGAATTTTCAAAAGTATTCACAGAATATATAAAAAGCATTCAATATCATAACTCACAAAGAGCAAACTCCATATTCACTAATGAAGTTTTTGCAATAATATATAGTTATATCTCGATATTAGAAAACGAAATCCAGATACCAAATGTCTCACCGACAGAAACATCTAAACATATAAGAGTACGACATGAAATCACACTACTCTCTAGTTTTCTAAATATAATTAAAGAAAATTTCACGAAAGATGAAGTTTCACAACATACAAAACACGACTTACAAAAAATTTTGGCATGGTTCATAATAGATTATTTCACACATAATTTTGATTTAATTTCACAAGCAAGAAAAAATTTTAGACCCCAAAACTCAAACGATGATACTGCCATCACAGAACAATCAGACTATGTTTGGGACCCCGAATGGTCTCACTCCGCATTCATAAACTTCCCACAATCAATCTCAAGTCAAGCAATAAGTACGATATCTTACGTAAGAGATTATGTAAGAGTAATACCATTAACCATTGATGCAACACCATTAAACTATAATACATTTTTACCCGATATGCAAAATAATAGTTTAAACTCCACAATCATACGAAATGAAAACCTCAATGGAACTAGAAATCTCACTCAACAAGATATCCAGACACCATCACACTTCATAAATGAAGAAATCGTACATACAACAACTACACAACAAAGTATTTCACCAATACGTCCAAATTTAACAACACCAAGAAATACAAATCCTTCACAAACACAAGTAACCTTACAATCAACCGTCAAACCTTCGGTTGCCCCAAAATATTCACACATGGATTACCAAACATACAGACCCATGACAATACCGCCAAAAACACGCAAAACGTTCACTAGAAACAATTTTGCAGACCATAATTATAATTACACACATCCATCAAAAACAAATTATCAACCACGAAAAAATTTTAGTAATTATACAAGATCTCGAAACTGGGATAACCCAATAGCACAACCTATGTCAGTAAATTTCCAAACAAATTTACATCCTCCACAGGATCGTAGTGAAAATTATCCATTTTTTCAGCAAAATAAAAATAAAAAACAAACATCTTATCAAATGGATTACTTATCCTCAGATGATGATTTCTTACAACCAGATATATTTGCACCCTATAATCAAGAATATCGTGGACAAGGAGTACAGAAACCACATACAAATCATAGAACTTTTTCTCCACAACCGATAGATACACAAAATCAACAACAAATTCAGCAACAAAACCCAATTATTACACAAAATTTTCAACCAATTCAGCAACAAAACGCAATGATTGCACACTCTTATCAACCAACACAAATGCAAAATGAAATACCACTCCCATATTATCTTCAACAACACAAAATAACAAGAAATCAACTTTCAAATTTTTCTCAAATGCCAAATGCAGCAGAATCATTACAAATGACAATGAATCTATACCTTATGGGTGGATCATCAATAACATCAAACAAACCTTTAATGGTATTCACAGGAACAGACCCTGAATATTCTGTAGAAGACTATTTAAATGCAGTAACAGCAAATTTGATTTTAAATATAGGACCTGAACCAATTAATACGCCACTACATCAAAACTGGATACATCGACGCACAGCGTTGATACAAACAACTTTAGACGGCGCAGCCCAAAAATGGTTTTCAGTATTGCCTATAGAAATAAAATCAAATTGGAAAAGGTTTACACAAGAATTTTCAAAAATGTTTGACTCCGAAAGAAACAAACAACAACAAAGAGTTTTATGTAATGAAATTCG